TGTGCAAGAATCAGTAACTCACAACTGCTGCTGTGAAACAAACAGGTTATACAGGATGAGATGATGTAAGGGCTCTTTAGGTTAGGCATAGTTAGGCTACTTTCATGGAAATAAGCATTGGTATTTTGTAAGAAACATTAACAAAATGTTTGTTTTCCCTGACCCCATCTTAACAGAAGCCAGAGTATGTCTATTTTGTTTGACTTGGGGATGGGCTGTGGCAATCCAAGGATTTTTTTTTTGCTGAGTGTTTTATGCTTGCTGCATTTTCTGTTGTTATTTTGTTATTGAATTCCTTTGCTTTGTTTTGTGTTAAAAGTGCTGTAGAAGGGAAGTGCAAAGCGCAGCATCAAATTGCTGGTGTTTATGATTTTTATGCTCATTACACTGTCATGAAATTACGATGCTTTAACGTATTCTGTTTCACTGTAATGGTCTAAGATGTTAAAAGACAAAACAGTTTTGCCAGGGTTCTGATATTACGTCCATGCCAACCTGATATAGATGTCTTTGCTCGCTGAAGCATCAGTCGCGAGGGTCGTAAATCCATCTTTTGTGAATTGATTTTTCACTCCAGCACGGTCTTTTTGCGACGGAATATTTCACTCCCACCTTAGTTCAAAAGCGATTCTAGCTCCCTGCTTCTTCGTGAATCGGAAGCATCCTGTTCTGGAAAAGGAGGCCGCTCTATATATCAGGGGTGCTCAAAAAGATGCCACTGATAGGGGATAGTGAGACCGTTTTGTGCATAATAAGACGGCCCTAATCTAGATGTTTGTATAGCCAATACCTATTCATTTGAATGTTGCGCGTGTTACTGTTTCATGAAAGGCGCATGCCTTCGATGCCCCTCCCCCTTCGAATACGATGCCCCTCCTCGTGAGGGAACCCCATTTTGTCCGGGAGGCCCCAGGAAATTGTGCCCCCCCCCCCCCCCCAACACGCCGTGGCGCCGCCCCTGGCTGGTACAGCGGTAAACAAGCACTCTGTGTTAAGCTCGACATGTCCGCGGATCTCACCAGGGGCGCACACACACACACACACACACACACACACACACACACACACACACACACACACACACACACACACACACACACACACACACACACACACACACACACACGCACGCACGCACGCACGCACGCACGCACGCACGCACGCACGCACGCACGCACGCACGCACGCACGCACGCACGCACGCACGCACGCACACGCACGCACGCACGCACGCACGCACGCACGCACGCACGCACGCACGCACGCACGCACGCACGCACGCACACACACACACACACACACACACACACACACACACACAGAGAGAGAGAGCAGGCCTCGGAGCACGAGATCCCATTACCGAATTTATGACACGCATGAACGTGACTTAATGGTGACGGCCAAAAAGAAATCGACACATAAAAATAAGAAGGTTGGGAGCGCACAATCGATGTCGAACTTGCCGCGGGCGGTCATTGCTATCTCCCCCCTCCCCCCCCCCCCCCCCCCCCTGAGGTTTTTTGATAATACCTCTCCGGCACGTCGTGCAATCGCGCCCAATTTTTTTTTCGCGCGCAATCGCGCCCAAACCTAAGGGGCAACTATTGTGCGCGTTTTGCCACTAAACACGTGTTCTCAGCCTTTCTGGTGTCGGAGCGGCGGCGGGCTTTGCGGAGCCTTGCACGCGATCTACGGCCGGCGTAGGCAGTGAGCCGCAACCAACGATTGGTGTCGCTTACAGGGATGACCTCATACACATGAGCATGAAAAGCTGAAAAGGCCCGCTTTGCTGGAAATCTGACCTTTAACCTGGCATCATGGAATCATTATTGACCTAGGCCGAAAAAAAACTGATACGCAATCGCAAGATCTCGTGGAGACCAATGCACTGGTGTTTTCCGCTAAGATTCTATCCTTTTCACTTTCGAAACGGCAGGAGGGTCGCATCAACATCTCCCCCCCCCCCCCCCCCCCCCCTCCATCAGTGCGCTTTATGAAAAACGGCGAATGACGGCAAAGTTTTAGGTTTAAAACGGGAAAAACAATGACGCAAAACGTATCCAACATTGACTAGATAGCAATAACCATATTCACTGAAATGCACCTGGATCACGCACACCTTTCGCCCGAACCCATATCAATGTGTAGATTGCTCCCCAAACACGGCTTTCGTGTGCCGGCGGATGGCAGCCCTTATCAGCCCTTATCGGCGGCGAGCGCGGCGCCGGTCGAGGAACGGACCGCCTCACAGTCAATGGACAGTGCCAGCCCGGCCCTGCGTAACCGCTGGCACTGGGACCGCCCCGGTGCTACCTCTGGCGCTGGGACCGCCACCGGTGCTACCGCTGGCGCTGTGGACCCACCGCGGTGCTACCGCTGGCGCTGGGACCCACCGCGGGTGCTACGCTGGCGCTGGGACCCCCGCGGTGCTATCGCTGGCGCTGGGACCGTCCACGGTGGCTGCCACTGGCGCTGGGAACCGTCCGCGGTGCTGCTCGCGTGACTTCAAACCAGGTGAGACGCGCCACGCGGCGCCGGCCGATGCAGCGGGCACTGCTGACTGGCAGCCACCGGCGGCAGCTCCGGCGATCGACGCACCCCGTACAAGCACACGCGCGCACACACATACACGGCGGCGCAGTCGGCGGCGGTGCCCCCCGACGGTACGGTCGCCGGCCCCGGGAGAAACGGTGAGTAAGGCCGATCGCCTCGTCATGCCAGGTCTCACCCACGTCGACGCGAGTTCTTCGCCTCCTCGTGATACACCCAGTTTCTGCATCTGCATTGTCTGTTACTGTATTGCTTCTGTACCTACGTTGTCTTCGCTTATCATACAACCGCACCGCGCGGTGCTTCGGACCTCTTTACAACCCGGCGCAATTTCTGGATATGGAATCTTGATAGAATCGCTCTTTTTTCGCAACTGGTTATAAGTACCTGACCACGCACGCGCGAGCCTGAGTGAAGCGTCAATCAAAGAGGCGTGAACAGTTACGTGAGAGACGGCTCACGCGGGGCGAGAGACCTGCGTCTAAGCTTCAGAATCACCTGGACAGGGTTTATGGCCGGGATGTACATCAGGCATATTTTATTTTTATTGTTAGTTTTATTTTCACGTTTGCGAAATGTCTACAGGTTGCCTTCTCGGGCATCGCAAGATACGCTCGATCCTAAAAAACCTCAAAAAGGCGCGCAGATGTAAAAGAAGTTGCCTGAAAATGAAGCACGGCGCTGAGCATCTGCTCAAAAGATCTTGCCTAAAATTAAACGATACGAAACAATAAAGAGAAACGATAAAGAGAAACGATAAAGAGAAACGATAAAGAGGAACGATCAAGAGAAACGATAATAAAAGCCAGACCACCCTGCAGGAGGACGAAGAGGCGATTTTTTTTAGCGAGCGACCCATAGATCCTTCATGTCATTTCATCTCTGTCGGTTCATTATTTCAGTTCATTATTTCTTATTTTCATTTTTGGCATTTTCATTATCGGCATTTTCATCTCTGTCGGTTCATTATTTCTCAGCCATAATCTCGGCGTGACTTCAGGTGAAGGACTTTGGCAACCCTCGAGTTCGACTGCCCTCTCTCCCCTGCCCCGCCTGCCCTCTCTCTCCCCTGCCCTGCCTGCACTCGCTCTTCAAAAGGACGCCTGCACTGCTGCGCCTTATCCGAGAGCTGGTTCGCTTGCCTGGAAGTGTCCGGCCAGTGAAGCAGCTCTCGCTGGGTCGGGCCCAGTAGTGCTGGCCCGGAAGTTGCCCGGCCAACGAATGGTCACTAGCCCGCCTGACAGAAGTGACGTCAGGAGTAACCAGGAGTGCTGTCAGGCAGTCACCGCGTAACGAGATGCACATCTGGGATCCTTCGGCTCCAAATTAAAGAAGGATGTTTTGAAAGACCCTGCAGCTGGCATGGAGAACCGTTCACTATTAAAGGCACTGGCGAAAATGGGCTCATAATATCATGTCTGTTTAGGTCCGAGGCCCAAGCGCACCTCTCGGTTGCCAAGGCTCCGGCCCTGAAAGCAACTGCTGTCGCTGAACAGGATCCCTGCCTTGAACAGAATCCCGTCCCCGGTGTGCGACCATCCCGACCAGGCTTCCGCCGCTGACCGTGACTTGCATCCCTGGGGAGAGCTCCCGTCCCTGGCCATCCCTGGCCATCCCTGACCATCCCTGAGCTCAGAGCTGCCGGCGCCGGGTCGTGAAGTGGAGACCCAGTCACCGACGGCCGCCTGCGTTCCAGGCCAGGGGTGAGGGCGGCCGACCGGCGCTTCAGCCGGGCCAGGATCAAGGGCTGCCAGCCGTGCCCGGCACGAACAGGCGGCTCACCGGCAGCCGCCGACCGTCCGGCGCCGGGTCCAGCGGCACCGGCCAGCCGCCGAGGGCAGCCGCCGAGGCCAACCGAGGGCAGCCGCCGAGGCCAACCGAGGGCAGCCGCTGAGGCCAACCGAGAGGGCAGCTGGCGAGGCAGCCGCCGAGGGCAGCCGCCGAGGGCAGCCGCCGAGGGCAGCCGCCGAGGCCAACCGAGAGGGCAGCTGGCGGGGCAGCCAGCGAGACGTTGCTTGAAGGCCGAGTGAGGAAAGAGACCTCCTTCAAGACAGAAGACTGGGCAGTGGGGACGCCAGCCGGGATCGTCAGCGCGCCTGACGTCACAGTCGGGATCGTCAGCGCGCCTGACGTCACAGTCGGGATCGTCAGCGCGCTTGTCGTCACAGTCGGCTGCCGTTCCGCGAGCGAGGCCGTCAGCCAGCGTCGCCGCCTGCCATGATGCTGCGGCGGTGCTGGGCGTCGGGATGTTCCGCGGTCCGCCCCGGGCGCCTGCTGCTGCTGCTGGGCGCGGCGGCCGGCGCCGTCCTGCTGCTGCGCTCCGCGGCCGTGCCGTCGGCGCCGCCGCCGGAGGACGGCGGCGAGCTGTGGCGCGGCACGGCCGGCAGCGACGACTGCCGGCTCCCGCCGCTGCCGCTCGACGCGCCCGAGCTGCGCCAGTTGTTCCACGCCGTGCCGCCACTGGCTTGCGACACCGAGCCGGCCTGGGTGAGCGTCGGCGTGGGACGGGTGGTCGTGCGCGAGGAGGCGCGCCGCGCGCACGGCACCGTCAAGTGCGAGTTCGCCGATGTGCTGTTCGTGACGGACGAGAGGGTGGAGGAGGGCGCAGTGACGGTGTCGGAGACAGCGTACGAGCTGCACGCGTCCGACTTCGTGCGCGTCAGGTGCCGCGCTGCAGACGGCGCCACCTGGCAGAACGTGGTGGCCGGGGTGCGCGCGGGCGCGGCGCCCAGCGCGCGCCGACTCGATCAGCTCTCCCCGAGCCAGCTGCCGCTTAACGTCCTCATCTGGGGCTTTGACTCGCTGTCGCGCAACACGTACGAGCGCAAGCTGCCCAAGACCGTAGCTTTCCTGCGGAAGCAACTGGGCGCGGTGATCCTGCAGGGGTACAACATCGTCGGTGACGGCACGCCGCAGGCGCTGATCCCGATACTGACGGGTCAGACGGAGCCGGAGCTGCCCGAGACGAGGAAGCGCTTCAGCTCGGCTGACTTCGTCAACGTCTACCCATTCATTTGGAAAAAATTCGCCGATGACGGCTTCGTCACCGCCTTCAATGAGGACCAGCCGCACATCGGCACGTTTCAGTACCGACTGAAGGGCTTCATGCCGCAGCCAACGACGCACTACATGCGTCCTTTCTACCTGGCCACGAAGCCCGGGTTCGGCAGGCACAAGCCACACTGTCTGCGCGACACGCCCCGGCACAAGGTGATGACGGACTACGTAGAGCAACTATACGCCGCCTACCCGCACACAGCCAAGTTCATCTTCAGTTTTCACTCCGAGCTCTCGCACGACGACGTGAACCTCGTGGGCGTGGCCGACGACGATATGGTGGCCTTCCTGACGCGCATGCGCAACACCGGCGCGCTCAACAACACGGCGCTGCTGATGATGGCCGACCACGGGCACCGCTTCACCGCCGTCCGCAACACGCAGCAGGGCAAGCTGGAGGAGCGGCTGCCGTTCGTGGCGTGGGCATTGCCGGCCTGGGTCGGCCAGCGGTACCCGGAGGCACTCGCCGCGCTACGCCAGCACGCCCAGCAGCTGACCACGCCGTTCGACCTGCACCAGACGCTGCAGCACCTGCGCCACTGGCCGGCAGGGCCGCCGCCGGACCCGGCCGGTCGTGGCGTCAGTCTCCTGCGGGCGGGCTCGGCGGCGCGCGGCTGCGCTGAGGCCGGCGTCGAGCCTCACTGGTGCGGCCTGTCTGCGCTGGCGGCCCGCCAGCGACGGCGACGCGGCGCAGGAGGCGGCGCGCGCCTTCGAGCGCTATGTCAACGCCGAGCAGGAGCGCCAGACGCCCGGACGCTGTGCGCCGCTCCGCGTCGAGGAGATCCTGAAGGCAGAGGTGCTTCAGCCGCAGGCTAACCTGCTGCGCTTCGTGAAATCCAAGGACAAGGACGGCTTCGTGCCAGACCTGAGCAGCGCCGGCATGACCGCCCAGCCCATGATGCAACTGCGCATGCGCGCCGCGCCCGGCGCCCGGACGTTCGAGGTCACGATGACGCGCAAGGGGAGCGGCGAGTTCGCCGTGCGCCACGAGGACGTCAGCAGGACTGACCGCTACGGCGACCAGGCCCGCTGCGTCGCCGACCGCATGGACCACATGCGCAAGCTGTGCTTCTGCCGAGACTGACCTTGACTGACCTTGACCTTGACGAGACACCTTGACCGCTGCCCGATGAGGACGTGAGCTCGAATCCCGCCCGGTTGCAAACGTGCGTGAGGCGGATCGTGGTCGGGGACACCCAGGACTCGTTACCAGGAATAAAAAGCTTGAACGAATCAGGGAAGTAGATAAAAACAAGACTGGAGGTTCTAAGAAGCAGTTCCTCGGGCATCAAAATTCAAGAACAAGACATCTCTGCGGCACATCATCTGCTCGAAGTGAATGCAATCATCTGCGTCTTTCATGACAAAACCTACGTGACATGATCTATGAAGACTGCCTGAAGCTAAAAGAAAACGCGCTAGCATTGTACGACGATCGCCCCTTTGTCGGCGAGCCGCCGACTCGATCGGAGCGCGGCCTGTTCAACCAGCTTCTAGTCACACAAAGGAAAAGGTGCTGCGGGCGGTCTCCGGTCTCCGTCTCCGGCCCCCGGTCTCCGGTCTCCGGTCTCCGGTCTCCGGCCCCCGGTCTCCGGTCTCCGGTCTCCGGTCTCCGGTCTCCGTCTCCGGCCCCCGGTCTCCCGTCTCCGGTCTCCGGTCTCCGGCCCCCGGTCTCCGTCTCCGGCCCCCGGTCTCCGGCCTCCGGTCTCCCGACGCCGAGCCCTGCCATGTCCGCTTTGTAACGCAGCAGGGTATCGGAGGCCCGCGCCGGCAGCTGACGACCACGGGGCGCGCGCCCGATGCAGCCGGCTGACGCGGCTCGCGCTTGCGCGCTGGCGGTGGCTGGTAGTGCTCCGACGGCTGCCGCAGTGTTACGGCCCCGTCCGGTGGTGTTCCGGCGGCGGCTGACGATGCCCCGTGGCTGCTATGGTGCTCCGACGGCTGCCGCGGTGTTACGGGGCGCCCGGTGGTGTTCCGGCGGCCGCTGACGATGCCCCGTGGCTGCTGTGGTGCTCCGACGGTTGCCGCGGTGTTACGGCCCCGTCCGGTGGTGTTCCGGCGCCGGCTGACCATGCCCCGTGGCTGCTGTGGTGCTCCGACGGCTGCCGCGGTGTTACGGGGGCGCCCGGTGGTGATCCGGCGCCGGCTGACGACGCCCCGTGGTTGCTGTGGTGCTCCGACAGCTGCTGGCGGTGCTTGGCGACCGCTGCAGTGCTCCGGCCGTGCTCGGCATCGTAGCGGTGCCTGTCGGCGTCCGGCCCGAGGCACCTGGCGCTGCGCTGGTGTTCGGCACGGCCGCGCGCACTTTGTCCGCGCTGGGTGGCGCTGCAGCCTCGAAATATTGAATTTAATATACCAAGTATATTTCCACGAGTGATTATTTTTATTTTTAACAGCACTCCGGCCACTGAGTCCATTTCGTGCTGTAATGGTGTGCCATCGGTTAAATGTCACTGCTTTAAAGCAAAGAAGCCCTGACCCTGAAACCATTCCTGACTGGAACAGCAGTACGCGGCGACGATCAAACCTATCCAATCAATATTTTCACACCCTATCCCCTGTCAGTGAACTAAATTACGCCCACTCCGAACACAGCTAAGAACTGTGTTAGACAGAAGGTTCAAGCTCGGGTACTTCACCTATCAGCGCCGCATCATCAGCGCATCATCATCCGCGCATCATCTTCACCTATCAGCGACATCAGCGTCGCATGGCGCCCGAAGACCTACTGCCTTGCTGAGCCGAGCAAGGTGAAGTCAACCAGCACGTGTTGCGCAGTCAACATTTGCCTGCATCGTTCACATATGGGGGCATCCGCTGTGTCATCCGCTGAGTCCAAATATGTAGGTGATGTATGTGCGCCCAGTGCGGACACGGGTAAGCGTGGTTTCGCCTTTTCGAACCTGGAAAGAGAGTGTCCGGTAGTCTTATCTTAGGCTTGATGGCTTTCAACTTGTTCCATTTGCTTTCCTGGCCCCACACATTCTGGCAATCAGCCAGCATAAAGAGCCTTGCAACAGCGTAGAGGTCACTGCACGGATCTAAAAGGTCTGATGGGGGGGGGGGGTAGTGTTGCAGACTTCGAGGCCAAGTCAGCGCATTACCAGTAATGTCAAAGTGGCTGGGAATCAATAATTGATCTGCTTCCCGTTTGCTTCCAGAGATCTGGCTCGTTCCCGGATCATCCGGGTCAACTGGGTCGCTAAAACAGCGGGGTTCTGTAGAGATAAAACTAGCTGAGAAAGTCAGTCGATATTGCGGTGCATCATGGACGCCCCAGGTGGGTGGTGCACTCAAAGTAGCCTACGATGGCGTGCAGTTCAGCAATAAAAACCGACGCATGCGCGCGCCTTGCACACCGCCCAGCGCCTCGAGGTGAAATTGAAGGCATATCCAGTGGCGTGGGACGTTTTGGACGGATCAGTTGGATCAGTTGGATCAGTACAGAAGTAGGCCGGTCAACCGCACCTGATGTTGGATATTAGCGCCCGGGCTTCTTGCCTCATCTCAAGAGCTTAAATGTTATTCTTCGAGCACCCGGTCAGCGAAACGTCCAACGGCGGGGCAAGCACCAACCCGGGCTCAGTGGCGGAGTACATTTGGGCCTGTATTTGCTTGACGCCAACTTCGGCTTCCTGGAGCAAGCCACCCACTCGGATGTACAGCGGTCGGGTGTTTATCCGCTTGGCCTGTGCGAAAGTCTTCATCAGGTCTCTGGAGAAGGGCATGCCTCACGCCGGGTGTGAACCGAACCGACATGTTCTCGTCGCGTGCCACATGGTGGCGGTCGACGTCTAAGCTTCAACGGTGGCTCGTGCTTGATGCAGGAGATGCGCGAGAGGCACCTGTCGCCATACGAACACGATGATAATCGACACCGTCCAGCAACTTTTGCCTGAGTCACCAGCAGCGTCATACAAGGCGCACGCATAGTCCATCTATGGTCGGATGAGAGCCCGGCAAAGCGCCAGCACCATCTTGCGATCTGCTCGATATGACGCGCGCGAAATGACTTTCAAAATGCCCATGGATATTGCCATGAAGGCCCGTCATGTGGTCGATGTACGAGCGCCGACGGTCGAGGGACGATCCCCAGATTTGAAATCGTCCGCTAGTTCAGAATCTGTGCAGGTTCGTCGCATGCTGCAGAAACGCATGCACGTGGTCTTAGACGTCCAGGAAGTAAAACCATTCCTCGTGTCCCTTTTGGCTACATCGTCTTCACGCAGCTGCGCCTGACGTTCTGCTGAGGCTGACGTTGATGCCGTTACGCAGATGGCGAAGTCATCTACGAGTGGGGACTGACCTACGCAGGCAGATAGTAGACAATATCATTGACAACAACGGCAACGAGCGCGACGCTCAAGATTCCACCCTGTGGCATGCCGTTTTCCTGTTACAATTGTGCGGAGTACCCACCACCGACTCGAACCTTAAAACAGCGGTCACGAAGGAAGTTTGCTAAGAACCAGCCTATGTGACCACACACACACACCACACTTGTAGAGATTCGACGAAATACCACCGTGCCCGGTTGTATCAAAGGTCTCTGTATGTCCACAAAACACAGGTAAAACGTGTTGTTCAAAAGCTTGTTACAGTGGGGTCTCTGGAATCGCCGAATGCTTTAACGTGCACTGCTTACATCTGAAGCCACACGAAGCGCGATCAGCCTATAATGAGCCTGTTCTGAGCCGCCTTTGTGCGATCTTAAAATCAGTACAATCACATATTCCCTCCACTGTGTACGAAAGGAGTCAGTCGCCCAAAAACGGTTGGAAAACATCCAACAGTTCCTGAAGTGCGCTGTGCAAAGATGCTTTAGCGTATTGTTCGTGACGTCATCGGGTTTTCGGACCACACTTGTGCTTCCAATGGCGCCTCTTAGCTCGGTCACGAAAGCATGGCACTGTATGCTTCCTTACCATTAAGGCGAAAGCTCATCGGGTGGTGTTCGCACAAACGCTTATGACGTGCAAATGCTAAGCAATATTTCATTAATATTATTTCATTAATATTATTTCATTAATATTTCATAAGCATGATTTCTGTTTTTTGTGGCCCGCTCCGAAAACGCACGGCCGAAGATGTTCGTGACGTCTGTCATGTCAGTGACTGATCAGCCACCCACCCTGAGTACCGGCACTGGTGAGGATGAGCCTGTCTCTGAAGTACGTCTAATGCAGGACCACACCTCCGTCAATGGAGCAAACACTTTACACCCCTAACGTAAGTTTGCAAAGACGCACGTTTCGGCCCTCGTGCTGTTTCTTCGCCACTGATCTTGGGCGCTTTAACAAGATACGGTTATCAGGCGTAGGAGAGCGGAGGAATCTCTTGCACGCCCTTTTTTCTGCGCGACAGTGGGTCCGGACTTTTCATTCCACTACGGCACCGGAGTTCAACGAGACCTGGTGAACGTTTGACGTAAGGCGTTACTGGTAGCGGTAAGCATTGCCGATAGATTGCATTGACTGCACTGATTTTCATTGCAGGCATTGATTTTCCAATCAGTGATGAAGCCGTGCCTTCCGCCGCAGGGTGCACAGAAACAGTGCACAGTGCACAGTAGTGAAACAGTGCACAGTAGTGAACACCCGCCAGCGTGCTCGCCGATGATCCCAACGATCCGGTCGCGGGTGGGCGGGGTTCGGTCGAAGCCATTTGAGGAAGCGGTTTCTTCCACACAGGTCACTATTTACCTCGCAGGAAAATTTTTAACCAGAGATGGAGTGCATATAGAAAGGTCGACTGTAGATGTGCTCCCGGATGTGCTCCCGGACGTGCTCCCGGATGTGCTCCCGGACGTGCTCCCGGACGTGTTCCAGGACATGCTCCCGGACGTGTTGCCAGGTGTGCTCCCGGATGTGCTCCCGGGCGTGCTCCCGGACGTGCTCCTGGACGTGCTCCAGGACGCGCTCCTGGATGTGCTCCCGGATGTGTTCATGCACGTGCTCCCGGACGTGCTCTCGAACGTGCTTCCGGACGTACTCTCGGACGTGCTCCCGAACGGGAGCCATACATGTGTGCCAGAGCCGGCGTTCGACACGCACAAGCCGTTGAGGTAAGGTAGTGACCCGAGCATTCTTCCTCAGTGGCTAGTGCAGTTTCCACCCCGCAGGGAGTTATATGCATCCAGATCACCAGGCATAAAAAACGGGGTCGATAACTACTGAATCTGCGTCCCAAGCGCGGCGTCTGGTGACCTCCCTTCCCGCGGGAGTATGGCGAGCAAATACAGGTGTGGGAGCGGGTGTGGCGCAGCAACTAACACCGCTACCACAGCGACATGTGACGGCCGGGCTGGCAGCATCAAGATCGACCGGCACCGCAACAGGCCGCAACGCGATTTGAACGGTGATCTTCACGCAATGCACGCTGCGGTGAACTAAAAAGCGGCGCTACCATGCGCTCCTGCACCACGCCTGACGTCAAACCGGAACACGCTATCCTCTTTTACGGCACGCACCACGTCCGGAAAGAGTTTGGTTTTATACAAGCCAACCACAGCGGCGCTCAAACAGAACAGAAATCACTGCAGGCAAGTCGCGAGAGCGGG